GCATAACTTCTACGCGACATGCTTTGTTGTTAAAGGTCCGTATGCAGCTCTTAAGAAAACGGTCAAGAAAAAATTGCCATTATTTCATGTGTGTGTCCAAGGAATTTTGACATTTGAGCCTGTTGCCTTTTTCCTCAAGAAATAACGGAACGAGCATATATTTCTCTTGCAAACCTGAGTTGTCTTGTGCTCTTTTTTCACAAAAAACTTTAGAAACCCGTAGTGGATAGCGTACCAAATTTCTTAAGAACTGCGTACTGCCTTAAGGAAACTTGACTCAAGAAAATTTCTTTGCTTTTTCTTGTACGTCATTTTATACGGATTTTTCGCTTTTCTTGAGAGCTACATACTGGCCTTAAAGTTCAAATTTATCAACATTTGCCGCACCAAAATGGTTTCCCCTTTTTGTTGGCCTGTGTTATTAAATGTGCGATATGTTCGTATATTTTTCAGAAAAATTGCAACGACAATATTTGTTTTTTATTAAATTATAAAATACAATAAAAAAGCCAAAGTCCGTTAATATGTGAGAATATGTCATGACAAGTTCAAGCTTTTGTTTATTTACCATGCAATGAATTGACAACGATTAATTTTTGCCGCTTCATATTTCATATTGAGACGAACTACATATTTTTTTACGTCATTGTCAATGAGTGAACATTTATAACTAAATTTGTTTGTAAACAAGACGAAATTTACTTCCCGCTGTCAATTTGCGACTTAACTAGCAGGCTCTCTCCCACTACCGCGCTTTAGCTGCCAAAAGTGATATTGTATGCACATCCTTCATGCATACTTACATACAGTCAACGTCAAAAATATGCATACCCTGACGTTCTGGCAATTTTATTTATTTATTTATTTTCCATACCATTTTTTTCTTTTTACTTTTCAACAGTAAAACCACGAGAACCCATTTTTTAAACTTCATACTTAACTCGGGAAAATGTAAAAAATAAAAACAAATTAGAATATTTTAGTAAAATAAGGTGCAAGTTTCAGGCCGCAAGAGATTATTGTTGGTTTTTGAGAATTTTTTGCTGGAGGTTTTGTGTACCTGTAACACCTGTAAAATATTAACGGTAGTATTTAGCGACTTGAAACTTGTACTTTATGATAATGAAATTTAATGGTCTACAAAACTGAAAAATTTAATATTTCGATGAAAAGTCCTTGCATTTTCCGCGAGTATACAAAACTTTAAAAAAATAATGCTTGGGGTTTTTGTTGTCAAGTCGAGCTGAGAGCTGGTATGGAAAATGTATGCTGACTATACAAGTATATGTATGTATATGTTCTTGCCATCTTTGGCTAATAGGCCTCTCTTGAAGAAAAGATGAGCTCCACGAACTGTGTATGTACCAAAAACAATCGGTAGCAATTTAACGTGGCTATTTGTTGATTTTCCTAGAAGGGATTTTTCATGCTACCCAATACATGTCTCAACTAGTCTGTGGTCACTGTCACCTCTGTATGCGCATTACATTGCGTTACACCTTTCGTAGTTCCTTTTTATTGTTTCAACAAATGTATACACTTCAAGCAAGAAAAAGTGGGCTCGCCGCGGCTCTTGCACATTTTTCATTTACATATGTACTTATGTACATACATACCTATGCTTGTGTTAAATTTATGTACATAAGTAGATACTTACTTACATGCACGCGCCCTTTTGTTGGGAAATTCAAAGGAAAATACTTCGGTTGTGCTTTTCCTTTCTGAATGCACCAAAGCTGCATAAAGCTAAATGCATACTTACATACTTACATACATATTTATACATATATAAATAAGTGTGTACACAATAAGTATTTGCATAATGTTTTTTTTTTACTGTTTTCTTTATATTTGGTTTTCTGCAACTGTTGCAACATTTTGTTGTTTTAATCAAGTTCTTGTCGCTTGTGTGCATAATGTGGAAAATTAAGCATTCAGTGAAGGGAAAAAAGAAAAGTCTGCAATGAGTGGAAAAGTGCACAATTTTTATACAAACATATTTATGTGTGCCCACGTATTTAGTTAGTGTATTTATGTGCGTTCTTGGTGCTTTAATGCCACTTAATGTAAGCTGGCTTAAGGAAATAAATACAGCTTAACAAAATTACCAACGATGCCGTTGTAGGTGTCGATAAAACATATAAATACTATAAATTATTAATTAGATAAATTTTTGTTCCAATTGATGTAACAGTAATCCCAGTTTTCTTTTGTGTCGTATTCTGGAAAAATCGTTATTGAGGATTCGATTCCTAATTTCACTGGTTTTTAAATTTTTGAATAAAGGCGTTAACCAGACAGGCATTCAAAAATGTAGATCCTTCCTTTTGCCCATCTCTTAACTTTCTGGATAACAGGCTAACCCAATATTCTCGCACGCCACCAATTTACTGTCAAAAATATATCATGCACATACAACTTGTATGGGACCAACCGAAATTGAACGGCATGTGTGTGAAGCTAACTCGATTTCCAATTTTTGTTCTGCGTGACATTTTGATTTGATGTTTCGCTCAATGAAATAAAATGCGAACGCACGCAAGCCAATTTCGGGTGGCGCGACAAAACAAATTCGAAGGCGTGAGCATCAAAACGCAAGCCGCGAATATTAGGTTAACCTGAAAGCTCGACAAATATTTAGTAGGGACGTTGGAGGGTCATTTCAACGCCAGAAGGCATCGTCTTTAACTCTCAACTTGCTGCGGATATTTTTAAAGAGAGTTGCCACTTTTTTGTTCTTAAAAAATGTGTTTGAAGGGCAGATAAATTATAAAGCTAAATGGTGCTAAGTTAAATAAAATATTACAAAAATTTGGGCGTCAAACGAAAGAGGTTAGATACCGATTTATTTCAAAAATATTTGGCAGAGAGAGTAACCAGCTTTTCTAAAAGTTAAAATTAATCTAATTTACAATTTAAATCAAATATTGGAATACGCGCAACAAATGAGTTATGTTTAAACAAATTTATTTCGAAATTAATTTGGAGGAGGGTTACCACATGTTAAGAATCTCAAAATCGTCTTAATGAAAAAGGTTAACGAAATGTTTAAGAATGCTTAGTTTATAAAATATTTTTGAAGGGGTTGCCACTGGCCCAAAAAACTGAAAACAATTTAATTAATAACTTAATAGAAACATTTCAAAATACATACATATGTATGATATTGTTAGCCACTTATTTTAATTTATTTATTTTTAAAAATATTCAAAAATTTTTATTGAGCTTGAAGCCGTTTTTAATGAAACCTTATTGTGGAAAAGCAACAATAATTTGAAAAAAATGGTAGAAGTGATAGCTATTTCGGAAATCACCAAATTTCCTCATCAGACTTATTTCAGTAGGATTCGAACCGACGATCCCACTGACTCAGCCAGTTGCCTATGCACTGTGCTAAGTTCGCCTTGTGAATTCTTGTTGCTTTTTCCATTATTTCATTGGTTACAATCAAGCGCAGTTAATGCAGTGCACAAAACAAATATTTTTAAGAATTTTAATTTGAAATATACATAGTTCGATCTAGAACAGAAACCACATAAATAAAAGTTCCACAGCTTCCACAAAGTTCACAAGATCATGCAGTGGCACACTTAGGTCGAAAACCCGTTGTGATGCCATGCCTGGTAATAAGTATTTCTCTCGCCCTTACTGAAATCTTTGATATCCCTGGCGAATCACTAAATCACAGTAGATCCGCTACTTCCGGATCCAATTGAAATGAAATTGAAATGAGTTTTTTTTAATTAAACGAAATTAAAAAAAAAAATATAACTTACGTATATTTTTCTTTTTAAAACAATAAAAGCCAAAAATAAATACAGAACTAAAAAGAAAAAAAGATAGAAAGGTTAAAAGAAATTAAAAATATATACATACTTTTCTTTTTAAATAAAATAAAATAAAATAAAAAATTAAATTAAAAACCCATCCTTTTTAAAACATTAAAATCTCTGAATTAAGAAAAATGAAATTAAGTAAAAAAATTTAATAAAAAATCAGTTCTTTACAACTACATAAATGAGATATAAAAGAATACTTTTTATGGCAAAATCTAAGAATAAAAAATTTAATTAAAGAAAAAAGTTAAATAAGCTAATAAAGTTCAATGTATGTAATTAAAAACATGTACGATGTATATTTTTCTTTTTAAAACAGAAAAAATTAAGAATTAAACCAAAGAATTAATTGAACGGAAAAACACAACTAAAAAGCAAAAATAGGTACAAAAATCTTAAAACTTTAGACACTAAAAAAACTTTAAACTTCTTTAAACAAAAATTAAAAGAAAAAATGAAATTTGGTAATAAAATATGGCAAAAATAAGTTCATTACATAAATAAAATTTAAAAAAGATTTTTAATGCAAAATTTTAAAATTAAAGGAAAATTATATTGAAAAAGGTAAGTTAAAGAAAAAATAAGTAAGTTCCTAAAAATTAACGAAATTAAAATAAAAGGATTTTTCTTTTTAAAACAATAAAATCTAAAAATAGAACCAAATTTATACTAGCAAAGCAAAACGCTTTAAGCAAAAAACAAAACCGACTTCAATTCTCATATAAAAATTTGAGGAGTACGGGACCACCTTCGAGACTCTGAAAAGAATTATCGAAATCGGTTGACGTGGTCCAAAGTTATGCGGAAAAACATCAATAAAGTCTCCGAAGAGGTCCCATACTAATCTGGTTTAGATCCGATCATTGGATCAGAGAATATATATATATATATAAATACTACATGTATATATATATATTTTTTTTTTTTATATGAGAATTGCAGTCGTTTTTTTTTTGCAAAAAATTACTTGTTTTTTTATTTTTGTACAAAGCGTGAAACCTTTATTTATATGGTACTTTGATAATTAAATTTAAACCAATAAATACTCAAACCTCGTCAATACGTGGGTGTCTTCCAAATATTTATAATAAGCACTATACTACACGTAAATTCAAACTGCATCAATACTTTTACTGATCTTTGTTCCTTCTCTTTTCATTTCAGCCTCTACCACGCTTCCACCTGCAATTGTTGCCGCCTGCAGAGCTCTCATCAACCCGTAGGTAATGACTAGCAGTACGAGTCCCAGAATTGTGATTATCGGCGCAGGTGTTTCTGGAATTTCCTGTGCTGTTCGACTACTGGACTTCGGTTTTCAAAATGTGCTGCTACTAGAAGCTGAACCGCGCATTGGCGGGCGGGTGCACACCATACCGTTTGGCGAAAACGTCATTGATTTGGGAGCGCAATGGTGTCATGGCGAAAAGGATAATATTATCTACGAGTTGGCAAATAAACATAAGCTACTGGAATCGACGGGGGATGTTTATGAAAATTATAAGTGCATCCGCTCAAATCGAGAGGTAGTTTGTGAAAGTATTAGTCAGCGGCTGAAAGATATCGTCAACGATAGTTTAGTGACACGACAAATGGAATTACGGAACTGTAATGGTTCATTGGGCAGCTACTTAACTAATAAATTCTATGAGGCTTTACGTAGACCAGAAAACTCTGATATCGACATGGCGATAGCGAAAGAGTTCTTTGAGAATTATCAAAAATTCGAAAACTCAGTGGAGGCCTCAGATTCGTTAGATGAGGTGTCGGGTCGTGGCTATTTGGAATACTGGGAATGCGAAGGCGATATTTTACTAAATTGGAAGGATAAAGGATTCATTGAATTTCTACGTTTGATAACAAAAGCGCGCGAGTTGGGTAATGAGTTGGGCGTGCTGGAAAAACGCGTGCTGCTGGGGCGAAGCGTAACGCAAATACGCTGGAATCGCAATGATTGCTGTGTGGACATTAAGTGCAATAATGGCGAAGTGATTATTGCCGATCATGTCATACTCACCGTGTCGCTGGGTGTGCTCAAGGAACAGCACACAACACTGTTCGAACCAAAGTTACCAGTGGAGAAGCAACGTGCCATCGACGGTCTGGCCTTTGGCACTGTGAATAAGATTTTTATGGAATTTCCCGAGAAATTTTGGCCTAATGACTGGACTGGTTTCACGCTGTTGTGGCGCGAGGAGGATATCAATGAAATACGCGGCACTTCACGCGCTTGGCTTGAGGACGTATTCGGTTTCTATTGCGTTAGCTATCAGCCAAAGATACTAAGCGGCTGGATAATCGGCGCCAATGGACGTCATATGGAGACTTTACCGGAGGATGAGGTGCTTTCGGGTTGCATGTATTTATTTCGTAAGTTCCTAGAATGGGACATACCCAATCCGAGTAACTTCAAGACATCAGCCTGGCATACGAATGCCAACTTCCGTGGCTCTTACTCATTTCGCTCCATGTACACCGAAGAGGTGGGCACAAGCGCACGCGAATTAGCGCAACCGCTCACCGTCGTTACGAGCCCGCCGCTAAGTAATGGCGGTGAGTCGAACGCGAATCCACTCTATCCACAAACACGTTGTGATAAACCGATCGTACAATTTGCCGGTGAAGCGACCAGCGATCACTACTATTCCACGGTACATGGCGCAGTGGAGGCGGGCTGGCGTGAAGCGAAGCGTTTGGCGGATTTCTACGGCATGCCGCGAAATGGCACAAAAGAGCCGAAAACGAAGGCACAATTATAACAGTTTTAGGACTTTGAACGCCAGCTAAGAGTGATTTGAGAAGGAGTATGTACGAAAGTACCCACAACTCATAAATGACTCTCTGCAGTTCTGTAGGCTTTCAAAGTCCTGAATATGCAAATTGAAAAATATAAATCTATAAAGTTTTCCGATGTATATCCCCCGCTTAAAATATTTAAATAAGTAATTGCTATTTACTAAAGACATGCTTGCATTAGGCGGTAATTTTGAAACACAATTAAGCTTCCGATATATTATAAATAATTTAAATTAAACACTAATTACTGATCTTTCAAAGACTCGCTAACTTCCAGAGTGTCATTACAATATTTAAAGTAACACAATATGGAGTCCATAACTACATGTGAGGTCTTGAGAGCTAGGTTAGCCTAACTGACATAAAAAAAAGTTACAGCATAAATTGCATTACTAGAATCGTAAGGGTAACAGCTCGAGGCACGTTCTTTCCTTTTGCTTTTACTATCTTTGCAAGCATCACATAGGTGCAACGAACTTCTCAGTAAAAGAACAGATGTATTTTTCATAGATCCTGCTTTCACATATGTATTAAAAAAAAAATTGTTAGTAGATATGCTCCTCTGGCTCTTATGGTCTCATATAAACTTGCTCAAAATATTAACAAGAAAAAAACTACCATACTATTTCGAAATATGTAATACAAAAATTTTGCGCCAATTGATATATGTACATTAGACCGAACCACCTTATCAGTAAACAAAACAAAATTTCGCCGTACACTCCTGAGTCTATAGTACACATTTAGGCAAGATAACGTCGAACAAAACTCGTTATTTTTTAGGCCGAATCTTGGGTTACACCTACATACACTTGGCAATTTTTTAATTTAAAGTTCTACTGGAAAAATTAAAGTACTTCCTTTGCAAAAGTTTAATGATTTTTGAATAGTTTTAATTTTCTGACACTGGGGGTTCTACGTTAGGGTGGTAGGAACTGAGATGGGGTGGGTAAGTACTAGCACTGGATACTTGAGGTCAACTCTGGAACAAAAATTGTATCCCAGGGAGAAAAGCATCGACATACATACATATGAACCATACTTCAAGATCTAACTGTAAATGCCGTAGGTATGAAGAAAAATTAGAAAAGGCAACCTCTACCTTCGCCAAAAAAATCGATATCGACGTGGAATATAATAATCTAAGCAAAAGTTAAATGATTTTTAAATAGTTCTAATTTACTGACACTAGGGTGATACGTTAGGGTGGTAGGTAGGTACTGAGATCTGGTGGATAAATTCTTAAAAAATGTATTCTCGAGATAACATCGATATACCATGCTTTAAGATCAGACTGTAAATGCCGAGGATATGACAAAAATGTAAAAAGACGACCGCCAAGCCATTTTTTTTCTCATTTGCCTTACAAAAATACTTAAGACTCAACGGTCTACGCGAACTTGTTTTTTCTGATTCAGTCTAATGTACATATCTACAACTAATTTCTGTCAATATTTCATTATAAAGTACAATTTGTAATATCATAAGTTCCAGCGCTGGTTGTAATGAATACTCTAAGGCTGGACGCTTGGAATGTAAAACTTGATTTGCGGGACTCGGAGGATTGTGTAATCTCCGTTATCTTGCAAACAAGGGTCGTCAACGTTTTTTTTTTGTCATTTTAGAGGCACAGCCATTGTAGGGGCTCAAACAATTTTAGTTCCCACGCGTGATAGTGGATTTCGCTCAACCTCACTGCATTTATTTTATACAGTGGGACAAAGTTTCCACTTCTTGCCTAAAAAAATATGATTTTTAAACATGTTTTTAAAGATGTAAAACGTCTTCAACTATAAGTCTTGTCTTAGATAAAGAATAATAACAAATTTGTTAAAAGCCTTAAGTCCTGGCAGTTAGAGGGTTAAAATGCTTCACAAAAATGCCAAGCATCTAATTCTACTAGGCTTCACCGAACACAAAAATTTACGAATCCAGGAGAAAGAGTAAATACTTACAAAATATATTTTTTCATAAAAATAATAAATTGTTTCCCCAAAAAGAGAAAACTTTAACCGTAAGTAAAAATATTTTTGGGATGCGATGGAGCGCAGTCTTTCTGGTTTTGACTACCACGTGTTAATTCTAGAGTTGGTTAACTTTCGTTGAGGTTTAGGAACGTTGACCACTTTGTTTCCCAAATGTCGGCGACTCTACTGCCCCCTGAGTGCCGTAAATTAATTTTTTCATTACCTGTACTAGCCTCAAAGTATTCAAAAAGAAATGAACACTCTATGTTAAAAGTTTTCAGTTTACCAATTTTCGAAAATTCAACATTGGCTTATTTAATTCGGATTTATTATTTTTCATTTCGTATTCGGCCTTCAAAACAAAAAAAATAAAAAATATTAAAAAATATGCAAATAAAAAATTTAAAAAACTAAAGCCGCGGTTTCCAGCCGCTCAAATTATTGTTGCCATGCAATTTAGGAATTACAAAAAAAGGCGCTATAGTCATTTGTGAAATATGTCTTCTTATATATGTATGTACATAGTTGCATACATACAAAAATATATATAATTAGGTGCATTTTTACAATTGAATGTCAAATAATGGTTGAAATACTAGACATATGTATACATACATTGTAAGTATTGAGATATGTACATATACATGTACATATGTACGCACATAAGTTTAAAGTTTTAATGAAACAACCTTGAGCCTGATTGTTACACAATCTTCATACTTTTTAATAATAAAAAATAATTACAATATTTGCAAAATATATTTATTAACGCGCAAAATTAATATTTATAATTCAAGACTTCTGCAGAGAAACACTTTTAAAAATACATATACTGAAAATGCAGCTATTGTTTATTAATAAAAACCTTATGTAAATACGTATGTATTCGGGGTTATTTTACTCGAATAGGGCCTGTAGATTTTAAAATATGTATATTTTACGAGATCAATAAAATGGAATGGCAAAACTATTAAATGCTTATTTTTCGATTTCCGACTATAGTGCTTAATACGCCGCCCACACATTTTGAGAAGTTTATTTATTGTTTTTTTACTATTTATTTTTATTTATTTTTTATTTTTTAAATATAGTTAATCTGATAAACCCAAGTTTAAAACGTTGTGCTATATTAAAAAAAAAATAACTAGCTTTCTTAAAAGTTGTAAGTTTTTTAACTAGATTTCTTAGAACGATTTGAAGTATGCAGTTTGTTGAGGGTGTCGCTCATTTTAGAGAGGTCTACACTTATATAACTCACTCTCGCTCAGTGGTATACCTATATCTATTTCTTCTTAGTCTGCAAGTGGTCTTTAAGGTATCCTCACGTATGATGACACAAAGTGATGGTAAGTGCAGCATTGCATCAAGAGCAGCGCCAGGTGTCGTACCGAAAGCTCCCCGACAGCACACGGCAATAGTTCTTTGAAGTTTAACAAGCATATTTTCCACGCTATTGATTTAGAGTCTGCTCCACCATACCACTGACGCAAAGCTGATTACAGGCCTGATCAGTAACGTATAAATTCAGAGGACTCTCTGTTTACATTGCCAAAATGTTGCCAATGCTTTTGAGGTCTTGTTCTCCACGTGATTCCACGATGATTTTGTATCCACAATTACTAGTAACTACTAGATACTTAACTTCAGAAGAAGAGTACAACACTAGTTTTAGTTGGTTTAGAGATTCGCCCATTTCGATTACACCAAGTGACAATTCAGTGTTGTGTGTACTTTCTTGTAAACAGCCGGCAGAGATGGCCCGTGACTAGACAGGCCACATCGTCCGCATAGGCTTGAGCCTAGATATCAGAGTCACTAAGAGTGACAAGAAAAGAATCAATTACCAGGCACCAGAGTAAAGGGTAAAGCACACCACCCTTAGGGCACCCCCTGTTAACTCCGCACTTGAGATATTGATGCCCTTCTGCCTGAATCTTGATGACCCGCTGCGCCGGCATTGAACGAATCGAATGTACCAGTACAGAATCTACTTGGTGCAGTGAAATAACACCCGAGGAAATAAGGTCCGCGTTGGCGCCATCCCACGACGCGACCGTTAGCGTTTGCACGCCACCACTGAAAAACCTAACAGTATAACAATTGACCTTTAATTTCCAATAGTTCGCTTATCAGTTTTTGGCAAAAATACCGCAGAACTACACAGTATGCAAAAAAAAGGTAAATTCGTTTAAAATACATTGCAATTTATGCCTTCAGATCTTAATAAAAATTTATAATTGGTATGTTTCAGTTAAATAAAGCCAGATGGAATAACACCCACGGGCTTCACTTCCAGTTTTTATGAAATAAATCAAGCGGGTGTTATTTCCCGCGGGCTTTATTGCCTTTTGTCGGTGGGCGCTTTTTCCTCTTCAAAAGGGAAATAGAGCCCGCGGGCTTTCTTTCTTTTTTTAAGGAAATAAAGTCCGTGGGCGTTGTATATGCTATCGAAGGTGGCATTGTCAAACGCGCCCTCCATGTCTACAAAAATTCCCAAGGCGAACTCCTTCCTATGGATGGCTAATAGGCCTATCGTTTCTAGGATTACGGAAATAACGCTTTGGTTAGGTTATTAAAGAGCGCAATGGAAGATATGCCTTCTGCGGACACAAAGCCATAATCAGAGCAGATAGACGTACCACTGAAAGTCTGGAACGTGCCCCCCCCTCCACAATTAATGAAGTGGCTCTCGTAATGATTGTTTGAAATATAGAATCGCAATATGTTAATAAAATATAATAATTTTTGGGTGCCGGGTCTGCTGGTAAGAGCTAATTTCTTCAGAAGATATTGGAAGACAAAGTTCGGGTATATGCTGATTTCTGTTTAGAACACCTTAAATTTACATACATGTTTACTTATAGGCCGTGTACACGGTGCATCTGATTCGCGAATCCATTTGGATATGTTAGTGAAAATAAATATGACATAACTCGGAATGACTCAACTTTGTGTAGACGAGTGCGATACAACACGTACACAGATGACTCGCGAGTTAGACGCACCGTCTATGGCGCCCACAACGTTTCTGTCGTTAAATTTTCACTACATTTCAATCATATTCTATTTGTTACTAGAAATTCTCAGTCATGGAAATTCTTCTGACACCAACTTATGTATTTATTTATTAAAAAATTACTACTTCTTAATTTTCAATGTGTCTAACAAAATCTAAAGATAGTGATACAAGCATCGATGGCAGTCTTTCTAGCCAAGTCAGTGAAGCTTTTCTCGAGAAGTATAGATTTAGAAGAGATTCGGGCTCCAAAATAGCATCGGAACCGAACTTTCTCATTATCGGCGCTGGCGCTGCTGGCCTTGCGTGCGCTGTGTCACTGCTTAAAAAAGGCTTCCGGTATGTGACTATCATCGAGGCGGAGAATCGAATCGGTGGACGTATTTTTACAAAGTCATTTGGCCACAATACCATCGATTTAGGCGCACAATGGTGCCATGGTGAAAAGGGTAATATTGTTTACCAAACAGTCAGTGGTAAAGTAGCGCTGGGCTCTTCGACTCACATCTACACAAAGTTCGATTGCATTCGCTCGGATGGTGAGTTATTGCCAAATGATGTCGTTCAAAAGCTTAAAACTTTGCTGATACAAATCTTTGCCAAGCGCCATCAAGAGCTGCCTTCATTTAAAGATACATTTGGCGAGTATTTAAGCAAGAATTTCTATGAAATGATAACGAGTAAAGAATACGAAGACATCAGTCGCGCCGTTGCACGAGAATTCTTTGAGAATTTCATAAAAATCGAGCGGTCTGAGACAGCTGCAGGAGTTGAGGAAATGTCCGCGCAGGGTTTTGAAAGTTACATTCCATGTGATGGTGATTATTTATTGCATTTCGATAATGGATTTCTAGAGTATCTACGTATTCTTTTGGAAGCTGATGAATTTGGTAACGATTTGGGGCTGCTAGAGGATAAAATTATTTTCGGCATACGCGTGAAAGAGGTCACATGGAACCGTGCCGATTTCAAAGCGCAGGTTACTTGTGAGAACACCTCAGCTGTATTTCTGGTAGACCATGTCATAGTGACAGTCTCACTGGGCGTACTAAAACGAAATGCAGCGCAATTGTTCAACCCAGAGTTGCCGATATCTAAACAGCGTGCAATCGAAGGCATAGGCTATGGCAGCATTATGAAATTATATCTGGAGTTTCCATCGCCATTCTGGAACAGTAAATGGATGGGCTTAGCCATGCTTTGGCGTGAAGAAGATCTTTTGGAGTTGCGCGAAAGCGCACGCGCCTGGCTGGAAAATATCTATGGCTTTTATAGGGTTGCAAATCAACCCTGCGTAATAGTTGGCTGGCTAGTTGGCTCCCAAATTCCTCAGGTAGAAACAATGCCAGATATCGAGGTTAAGGAAGGATGTATGTACTTGTTGAGGCGTTTCTTGCCGCAATGCAATATACCGGATCCAATAGATTTTATCAAATCTGTTTGGGATACTAATCCAAATTTTTATGGCACAAGCTCGTTTCGTTCACTGAAGACAGAAGAGCTGGGCACAGGTGCAGTTGAGTTAGCGCAACCCATAACCGTACTCGCCGAAGCGCCTAACTTTCTCGTTGAAACGCATCTGCAAGGAGGTCTGGCCGTTAAGCCGGTAATACTGTTTGCTGGCGAAGCTACACATGAAACTCATTTCGGTACGGTGCATGGTGCGGCAGAGAGTGGTATACGAGAGGCTAAACGTCTAGAAGGTTACTACACAGTAGATCTGTAGAGAAAATTGTGCAAATTTAAATGTATACGAAAACTCAAATATATTTTGCAAAAATAACAAACTATCTACACAAACTCAAAGCTGTTGCTTAATTATTTAACAAATTTATAGAAGATACCACACAATTTGCATAAACTTTTTAAATTCTACTCCCTAATGACTTGCGGCTCAAAGTCGAGTTGTGCAGCACGCGCGAAGGACTCCGCATATAACGGTAGACGCTGTGTCATGGGGAAATTCCAAAAATCTTTCACCTGTCTGCACAGATTCAGGTCTATTTCGGTGATGAGCAGACCATCCCTATTGCGTGATAAGCCCGGCGTGCGTGCGCCATTCGGTGCCGTCACGTAAGATGAACCGTAAAAGGGTCCGAATACTTTGTGCGCTTTCTGGCCGTCGCCTGATGTATACTCGTTGGGAAATTCCTCGCTGCCGACACGATTTATTGCAACTGTGAAGTAGCTATTTGCAATTGCTGCATTGCGCGCTTCAATACCCCAAAGCGGCTCGCTGAGTGCGCCCACTGTAGCCGAAGGATTGAATACGATTTCGGCACCATTCAAGCCGAACATCAACCAGTTTTGTGGATGGTGACGGCCGTAGCAGATATTTATTGCTATTTTGCCAAAGTCTGTTTCGAAAACGGGATGGCCAGTGTTGCCTTCCATGTAGTAGGTGGACTCGTTGAAGTCGCCGACGCGTGGAATGTGATTCTTACGATGTTTTCCAAGATAGCGGCCCCGATTTGAGATCACCACCGATGTGTTCCAGATGGTGTCGCCATGTGTTGTATCGCGTTCCAGTATCGATGAAATAATAACCATATTGTAGGCTTTGGCCAGCTCTTGTAGCATTTGTGTTGTTGGACCCTTTTCAGCCTCTTCGGCAAATTCACACCAGGGAAATTTTTCGCGCGTGCAGAATGCAAAGGGCATTGCTAGTGGAAAGGAAAAAAATAAGAATCAAGAGCAGATTGTATATAAAAAATGTTTAGATTATAGCTTTGAACTCACTCCATGCTTCCTGCATGCAAATAATATTAACGTCTGCCTTGGCAGCTGCCTTGATTATGATGCGTATTTTGTTCCAAATGGCTTCGCGCTGTTTGTCCACCGGAGCAGTGGTGGGTAGTACAATGGAGTTTTGTATAGCTCCCACGCGCACTATGCGTGGTTTGCGTATTTGCTCTTTCTGCGCAGATAGACGATATCCTTTTATCTCAAAATCATGATCGGAAGCTAGGGAAACGGAAGCTTCAGGTAGTTCTAGCACATCGCTGTAAATGATGAAGAAATGTTAGGCGTTTTTGTGCATTCCTAAAAAAGGTAGCCAAAGCTTATATATGTACTTTTGAGCAATTTGTGTTGACGAAATTTGTAAAAAAAAAAATTTTGAAAGATCGTTCCTTGACTTGAGAAAATTTATCTTGTAGAAAAAGCGGTCTCAGCAAACACAACATTTATACATAACATTAAAGTGGTCCAAAAATGTATATAAAAAAAATAAGGTTGCATTTTTAATGCCGCCAGCCCCTAGGATTGTTCTATACCAAAAAAATTATACCCCTATTTTTTTATTTTGAAAAAAAAAAAAAAAAATTAGGGTGTGCTCAAAGCGCTCAAAGTTTTCAATGTATTTTATATGGGGAAAAAACAACTTTTCGTAAAAATAGTGTAGAATTCTTGAAAATCAATATTTTTCGATCGGAAAACTTTGCTTATCTTCAGAAGATTCCCGGTTATAATATCCAATTGTTCCTTTAACAATTTTTTCATGGTGACTATATTTTATGGGTCCTTGAAAACCAATAAAAAATCTTTAATTATAAAAAATGGTTAAATAAACAATTGGATATCAATATTTGAAGTCTCCTGAAGAGAACCAAAGTTTAACGATTGAAAAATATTGATTTTCAAGAGTTTTATGCCATTTTTACGAAAATTTGTTTTTTCCCCATATAAAATATATGGAAAACTTTGAGCGCTGTGAGCACTCCCTACATATTTTTTGATTTCAAAATAAAAAATAGGGGTATATTTATTTTCGGTTCAGAACAATCCTAGGGGGTGGCGGCATTAAAATTCCGACTTTATTATTTTGGACCACTCTAATATACATACATACATATTTTTTTTTTACCATTTAACAACTTTATTTAGAAAATCCTCTGCCAAGTTTTACCCTCTTATAAGGAAAAATCATAATTAGTTTAGAGAATTTCTTTTTTTTATGTAGATTTTTACTAACAACTTTTTTACTGAAAACCACTGCGGAAAACAGTTCTAAGAGGGCCAGGACGTGAGTGAAAAACGGAGCCGGTTTGAAGTCAAGCGGAGTAGAGGAGTAGATTTTAAAATTTTTCAAAAAACGAAGTAAGTCTACACCGTCCGGAGTAAAGTCGGTAACAGCAACAAACAAGCTCCTATTACGCCTTCCAACATCACATGGAAGAATTCGCTTGGTCCCGAATGGTTTCGAGTAGCCGTCCCTAATTTGGACAGAACTATAATTTGAGGAGAAGCTCGGCCAAACGCTTAAACAAATGTAAGCGCCAAATATATATTTTTATGCACTACATGGGTATATGTATGTAGTACATATTGTGAGTTGGTAAATGCATACAGTGACTCAAACAAGTGACCAGGTGTTATTTTTTTTATATTCACAATGTTTTTCAAGTAAAATTTTTTTTTGGTGATTTTTCTAAAAAAAAACTTGTGTCCGTATCAGTCAAAGTTTCAAATTTTACACCAAACTTAAAGCGCGTTTCCACGACGCCCAAATTGCGAAATTTCGAGACTAATTTCAATTTGGCCATAAAAAAAACGGTCACCTAAAATTCCGTATGTATCTCAACTTCAGCGAAATTGAGACGAAATTGCCCCAACTTCGCGAATACAACTCTGAAAATTGCTTATTGTGAATTAGTATTGAGCTAAAGAAGAAAAGCAAACGTCAAACGTGGCGTTGATTTTTTGAATTTTTTTGCGAGCGGTTAAACATCTCCGCGTTTTTTTAGCCGGTTGAAACTTGCACTTCATTTGATTGCATGCAAAGCTGTATACTTGGGATGTGCGAGTAATCGATTAAATAATTTTTAACTAATAATAATCCTGGTTATTAAAAAAAATGCGTTTAATCAGATTTTGATTAATCAGATGCTGAGTAATTACTCTTTACTAATGAAAGATTAATTGAAATCTGAGTATATTTGTTCATTTCTTTCAAGTTTGCTTTCAAAGAAATTAGGATTTTTTAATAATAAATTACAATGTTTTTGTGTTGATTTTTCCGACAGGGTGGTAAGATGATTTATTTTGGAACAAATTTCCGTCATCCTTTGTCAAGTTTGATGTGACAATGCCGAAACCGATTTGTCTGCAAACCAAACTTGACAAGGGATGACGGAAATTCGTTCCAAAATAAATTACAATATTTTTCTTATTAACAAAAATATAATGCCAAATGAAATGAAAAAATACATATGTACATAAAACGAAAAAACAATATACCAGAAATTATGTAGGTTTCCGATTAATCAGGTGTGAAATAATCAGTTTTCTGAATAACAAAATTATTAAGATTCTCCTTAATCAAAATGTAAATTATTGAGAAACTAATCACTTTGATCAATCAAAAGTCTAAGCGATAGAAGTCATAGCTGCTATTTCGGAGATCACCACATCTCCACATCAGACGTCTTTCTCTAGACTTTTATGGTTTTGGTTAAGCTTGGGCAATTTTTTTTATAGAAAAGAAAAACGAAAAAAACTTATCCTGAAAACAACTTGTTTGAGGGACTGTATGTATGTACATTCGACCGCACGCACCACCTTAAGAGCAAACAAATAAGTTCGCCGTACATCGCTGCGTCTAGGGTATTTTTGTAAAGAAATTTCGAAATCTTATAGCGTTTTCTTTTCTCGAAATAATGTTGCATTTATTCTGCCCTGCGCCAGGGCTGTCAAGCTTTCGTGTTCCTTTCTCAGTATCTTCACATGCATATTGCGTTCTCTTTCTTTAAAATGTTGCACCCTGATAATGTTGCCATATAAGAAGGTGACATTTTTTTCGAGAAAAGAAAACGCCATTATTTTCTTTTTGCCGAACCTAAGAGTCACATTTTTAAATTTTTCTGGTGGCAGCTATGTTCGGCAAAAAAAGGTCTGAATAGTTATAATAAAATAATCACAAAACTTTAACAAACGATTCAAGATTTTTGGTAAGCTTTACGTGCTGACTTTGGAACATAAAAATTGTCGATGTAAGGCAACAAAATAATAATAATTTGTGTAGGGCGAAATCTTTTTCTAGTATGGTCTAATGTACATATATACATAAATGGATGTACATATGTATGCCGCAGATTATCTGAGAACATTTTTCTCAGTTAGTCCAGTATATACAGATGTTCATATGTAGCTATATACATATGTATACGTAAACAAATATGTATGTATGTAAGTATATCACTTTTATTATTTCAACTACTCAGTTCATACATACATACATATTCATAATAAGTTTGTTTAATTAGTATGTATCAAAATGAAAACCAAATAGCGGGATAAAGTTTAAATTTATAGCATTTAAATGCAGTCTCTGCTGATAACGCGATAATTGTACAATTTACGCAGATACAATTTATCAAATTCACTATTATACAACAAATATTTTTACAATCTCCGCTGTTTCGTTAAATTAAGTATAAGAAAATATATGTACATTCTTTTGTATATACATTCATATACATATGTATATAACTAGGACAACCTTTGCATTAACAATTTGCTCGACTCACTCTTCTGGAACGCCATACAAAATACGCTTCACCTCTTTCAGTTCGTTTGGTGGTATGTGCTTCTCCAGACACTCTTCCAAACTTGTTAAATCGAGTGCAGACATGTTTGATTATTGTTGGCTATTACATTAAATTGTCTATAATAAATTTAGCGATAAATTGTTTAATAGGCTATTTCTATTTTCTCAAACTCAACCAACCAACACCGTTGCTGGCTGATCAACAAATGATGAGTTCTAAAGAGAGTTTTCACTTGGGTGGTGGCCAGTGCACGGCCTCAACCACTTTATTGGTAGATCTACTAACGTTTTAGCTATATTATATTTTCATCCATTTTAACCAAAAAAGTCTAAAAATCTACATGCCAATCTTTTCCATATTTTATCATCGGACACACCTTAAATAAAAAAGGAAAAGTTAACTCTGCGCATAACCAATTTAAAAGTGAAATTGCATCCGTATCAGCTGTTTATGTAAATATCTTTCGTTTGCAATAAGTTTGTGTGGGAGGCTGTCAAACGAATAGGTTCCAAACTTTAACCATTTCAAATCTAATTTGAATGAAAAAATTTGTAGCGGTGCGTAATTGTCTGAGCCTCCTTTAAATTTTTACGGAGCCCGTTATCGAATAAAATTCGATTCGAAATTTTAAAATTTCGGTACTGAGTTTGCTTTTTCGGTTCAGGTTGTATTGGAGAGAAAACTGCTGTAATTTTATTTCATTCGATTCGAATCAAGGGAAATTCATATAAGGCGGTGGTAACAGAGCAGCTGCTTTCAATGCGAATTGTGCTGGTTGTCAAAATGACGTGTTTGTTGTACGATTTTTGTGTTCTGTCCTGCCTTGTTTCGAATCGAGTTTCATTCGATCACGGATGCGGTGATTCGGGTACAGTTTTATGTATACAGTGGTTTTTTGTTGAATATTTTATGGACTTGAAACATATTTTTTGTTGTTTTATATAAAAATACAATTTATCCCACGGTGAATTCATGAAAAGTGATAGCCGGAGTACTAAAATAAAAATTACACTTAAAAAATTTTAAGCACAATGCCAGTAAGAATTAAAAAAAATACATAATTTTGACATTAAGAATCACTTAGGCGAAAATCCAGCTGCTCTGGTAACACGGCCGTTTATGAATTCGCCATGTTTTATCCTATATGAATAAAAACTGTCTAATATTGTTTTTTTTTAAGCTACCAACTTCTACCATTTTCTGAGTGTAAAATCTACCACTATTCATTTTTTTTGCAGTCCGCGCACTGGTCGTTGCATGGAATCAGGGCTGCCAACTATCCGGAGCTATGAGGTGCCATATTGGGGATAAAAAAGACCCAAAAATAAAAAAGCAAGCATGCCAAGAAAGGTGCCTCTTTTTAAGCGAGAAAAAAACTATTTACTTCCTTTAAGGGAATCGATGCTAACAATTTTCTAGTATCTTTAAACTGACGGGGCATCGATGTTTTAAACATTGCTCACTTAACATTTAGAAAAGGACCGACCACCCGTCTGCAACAAATACATTGTCAATGATATCAGTCCTTCTATATTTGGGCCCCAGCGACATTACGCTGGTGGGGAATTTTATTTTACAAATTTAACAAATTGTAAAACATCGGAAAATATCCATGTATCGATGTTTTTCTGCCGATCTATTTTGTTATCGATGTTGCCGATGTTACTTCTCAAAATTTGCAACCCTATTTCCTTCCCAGTTAGCAATAAAAATAGAACCACAATCCTAAAACAAATGTGTAATGTCAAAACAAGTAATTTTTAGCAAAAAAAAAACCGACTTCAACTCTCGTATAAAAAAATATATATATATATATATATCTCATGATCTACTGATCGGATCTTAACCAGATTAGTATGGGACCACCTCTGAGACACTACCTTTCCGATGCTTTCGAAATCGGTTGACGTGGTCCAAAGTTATGCGGTAACATACATAAAAAAAAAAAAGATTCCGACGAACTGATAACCTCCTCCTTTTTTGGTTAATAAGATAAACGAGTTGTATAAATGTTAGAAACTAGAAAATTTTAGTTGACGAAAAATTAGTACAACGCGAAGGATTTAGCAAATATGTATGTATTGAAATATTACTATTTTTCAAAAGTGAAAAATGAAGAGCCATTTGAAATAAAATAGGGCCACAAATTGCACGGTTTGCGCCAAGTTGGCAGGCCTGATTGCGGTGCTAGCTAGCGTAGATGTCTTCTTATTTTTGTCTCAATGCTCTCTATTTATTTTTTGATACTTGCTGAGCTACATTCATACTTGTATACATAGGTGAGCGTTTATTGTTAAACGCTAGACAGAATTATCGCTATTGAAAGATCTCACGATATATATATATATATGTATGTACATTCTGGGATCAGTTAGTATATGGATTTAGATATGTATGATACAACACACATATATATATATATATACATAAGTATGTGAGTACGCATTTGAGTAAAGAAAAGATAAGAGAGCATTTTGTCCGCAATAGTTTATTGTTTGTTATCTCAAAGAAAAATATTCGTAACAACCAAAGAAATCTAAGATCAGGCGAAACTGAACTTTTTATACATATATATATGATATTTTAGTTAGTTTCACTTTACACCATTGTTACTATCGAAATTGAATAAATTTTTTTTTTATGAAAATTTCCAGTATTTGTTGAATAGCCTTATTAACAAAGCATTGCATTTTAATGGAAATTAGAGCGTTAGTTGCGTTTTTTATTACTTTAATAACAAATAATTAGTTTTGTACTAAAACTCCATACATTCATACAAACTGCTTGTTTGCTTAGAGTAAACATTTATGAAGTGGGCCACCATTTTTTTGAAGGTCGAGCTTTTTTTTGTGCAAGTATCTGTTCATGCTTCTCAACGATAAAAGAAAAATACAATTCACAATTTTTTTTCGAAATTCGAATTATTTTGGGAGTTATAGCTAACAGCTTTTTTTGTTGTTGTATAGAAAATAATGAAATGAGTATCGCAAGCGCGCAAGTGAGTCTCACTATCAATCGATACTGGTTGAAAAACTCATGCGAGATAAATATCTACGGCAAATGTTTTCCATACAAAATACACTTGGGCATCAAAAGCGAGAATAACTTTCGTCTAGATGCATTCCGGCAACATTTTTTTCTGCAAATAATTGTTATTAGAACGTACAGCAGTATTAGTCATTGAGATGTCAATAATATTTAAAAAAATTGTAATAACTTTTACAAAAAAATTGTATGACCAAATAAAAAATAAAAATGAGAAGAAAACATCATCATTCTTAACTGTTTAAAAAACGAGCAGAATCGATATAACCAAGCGCAATAAAACAAATACAATCTAAACAATTTCGAAAGAAGCTGAAGGCTATTATACCTTCCAAAATAATTCGAATTTCGAAAAATTGTGAAACTTGTATTTTTCTTTTTTCGTTGTTAAGCATAAACAGATAATTGCACAAAAAAAGTTCAACCTTCGAAAAAAATGGTGGCCCACTTCACAAATTTGACTCAAAAGTATTTGTTATGTAGCTCATTATGTAAAAAAAATTAAATATAATAAATTTTCAAATTTGTACAAAAATTAGAAATAACAAAAAAAAAATAAAATCGAAAATGTCTAATTTTTTAATTCGAATTTTTTGGTGTAACAGGGTGCAAGTGTGAAGTTGCTAAAAATCCTGTCGTTAGGCAATTCTTACCTAAATTATCCGCGCATCCACGTCCTTTATATCTATGTAGAAGTTGAATATTTCAGCTTGTGGGACAGTTCGTATGCGGACAGTTTTATAACAGAAGTTTGTAGCCTAGGCTCTAGTATCCATCGTCGGTCCCTACGAAGAGTAGCACAATTCATTATTCGCGTCGAAGAGTAGCACATTTCAGACTTTTCTTGGACCAAGTTGGAAGAAAATAATTTTTATTTGCGATTTGATTCGTCTTGTCAACTTTTTAACTGCTCGTGACAGAGATATGAATATAAGTTTCTCTTTAATAACACCAGATCGTCATCTTTATCTAAATCTTATGGTGATTCCTTTCTCTTTTCGTGTTCGATTCTAAATTAAATGCAAAGGGTGAGAAAATGTTATGTTCGTTTCTTAAAATGTCACACTCTTGTGAGGCATAAAAGGTACATTCTCTGGCCCTTTGAAGCTTTGTCTGGGGAGATGGTTGCCCTGAAAATCAGATGGTTGCTCAAAACGACAGTATTATGAAATGCGTGAGATGCAAAAGGACAAGAAGGCAAAACCATGCATTTTACAGGGTTGATTGTAACATCAAACACAATTTGCACCGGGCAAGGGCAACCTTTTTTGAAGGAAACAAAATCACCATAACTAAACATGCACTCAGAAAATGGTCAGCTGAATATAAATATATCTCTCAACCCATGATTTGGTGACTATAATCAAATAATGTAACTGTAACCAAATCATGTGTCGGGAGAAACATATTTAGTTGACGTAACTAAACTCTTTCTTTGGTGTACATTGGTCTGCTAGTTATGGACTTGCTATTAATCCTGTTCAGACGGAGCACGCGCTATTCACCAGGGGGAATAAATAAAGTGCTCTCTGCCAGAGTCTAGGGCGTTATACTGGGAAGGAAGCTATAGCGGAAGTGCAGTTTGTATTTTGTGTGAAAAACGAATGTATTATGAATTTTCCAAATTATTTAAGTACCATTATCGGGCGGGGGTGTGGGCGGGGTCGAATAAAAAAGTTAACAAAACCCAAAATTCTACTTTAATCTAAATAATATATGAGCAAGTTATAGTCCGATTTTAAAAATTTGCAGCCGTTTGGTATGTTGTACCAATGCTAACAACTGTGCCAAGTTTGGAAGAAATTGATGCAGCGGTTACCAAGATATACACATGTAACCATAAGTGGGCGTGGCTACGCCCATTTTCCAAAAAATTATAATATTCTTATTTAACATCTAAAAATAAATTTTCAGTGAATATGCTTCAGTAGTTACTAAAATATCGCAGTTTTCGTATTTCTGAAAACTACCGTTATATGGGAAGTAGGCGTGGTTATCGTCCGATTTCGATTGGGTAAAGGGGAATCTACATACATGACATCTCAATTTTTGCTCGAGTTATCGTGTACACGGATGGGCGGACGGACGGGCGGACGGACAGACAGGCAGACAGACATGCCTTAATCGACTTCTCTTTTCATTCTGAGCATTTTTGTATACATTTGTCTGTATCTATCTCGATTCGTTTTGGATGTTACAAACAACCGTTATGTGAACAAAGTTATAGTACCCTTGTGCACAAGTGCGCTCGGGTATAAAATACATTTTATTGATAAAAAAAAAAAACGATTTTGGACGTACTTGCAAATCGGTACAGTTCACGTAAATCTTAATAAATTTGCGAAATGTTACTCCAGAAGTTTTTTAATTACAATACAATTTATAATTCCGGCGGAACACCGTCGACTTTTTTGATGTGGCATCCTAATGTAGATACAAATTTAACAATGCATTGAAATGTTTCTTCAATTCTATTCAAGTTTTGTGTTTTTTTTTGTATTTTATTAATTATTTTTATTTCAACATTTTCGTATTGATAACATTTAATTACAATAAAATGTAAGAATATGCATTTTGAATTTTAAGTACAATACATAATTACAGTATTTATATTCATTCAATTTTATTTTATATATTATAAATATATATTTTTAGTTTTTTATTTCCTTGGACAATTCTGTTATATTAAAAATTAAATTATTTATTTATTCAATTACATTTATTTGCTTAATATTTTTAGGTAATACATACACAAATTTTTGAATTTTCAAATTTTTCATTATTGTTTTCTTTTCATTGTTATCGCTTGCATGCAAAAGGTACTTTTTATGTTATTGAATAAACAAGAAAAGAAATATCATGGTGAAATTATAAACAGCTGAAGTAATATAAAACAGCTTCCCCGCTTTATTTTCTTGACATTCGGCTATCTTACAAAGATTTTTAAAAGTAAATTTTCAAATACGATAGTGTCAAATTTTTCTTCTCGCTCTAATTACACACCTGGTATAATTTCACCATGAAGAAATATGTTAATTTTTTTCATGTTTTAAGTGTTTTTAATAATAAAAAAATTAACAAATGGAAAAACGAAAAGCGTGGTTTTTAGAAAATATTCAAATTTTAAAAGAAAATAATTTTTTCTTATACATTGCACTGTTAGTTCATTTCAATATTAAAAATCGATAGCGGCAGTTAAAAATTATAGCTAAATATTTCAACAGTTAACAGAATAAAGCTAATACATACATTTTTTATACATATAATAAGTGGAAAGATTTAGGTTTAGCAAAATGTTAAATTAGCACGTCATTTAAGAAATGTGATATTTCTAGACAATGGCAAAAGTGCTTAAATTTATAAATTAACTTTTAAAAATTTATATATTTTAGCGTCAAATAAATTCCCATTTTTACATAAATTCTATAAATTTTATTTTAAATTCCCACTTTCTTCTTTGCAGATTTAGAATTTTTTTTGTAACTACATCGACGAAAAATTCAGCGAAAATCCTCAAAATCGGTAGTATATTTTGTATGAAGTTTGTGTAATGATTTTGTATCTGGCAATATTGTTCTTCTTCGGTTTGTTAGAAGTTGCAAAATTCTATGCAGTTGGCAAGTTTGTTTCTAAGGATGTAGTTGTTTTTTTTTTATTGAGTTTATATGTATTTCTGTTTCTTTTGTTATCGTAAAAAAAATGAGTTCGGGTATTTTATTAACTGTCAAGGAGAACTCTTTACTACAAAATATTGTACATCAGCAATTTCATATTGGAATATACATATTTATATAAGTATTGTATGCAAGTATGTACATAAGTTTTTCATATATGTATTCATGTGCATATGTGGTATGCAATAAGTAGTTAACAGCTACTTTTCTTTCTTTAACAAGTTATCAGTTTTAAATCTCACTACCCAAACTCGAAAACCAACAACTTTCACTTATTTTTCGCTTACTCCTAAATTCGAAAACAAAAATCTTTAACAATAAATTTTTTGGTGTTTACATTGTCAAATTCATTACTTATCTTCACTTTTTCTTTATTTAGAGCGTGTGTGAATCGGTAACAAAAGGTGTGTATAGTAACTTTTCCAGTAAATAATTGCAGCGAGAGCGTAAAATCAAAATATAGCGTAAAATTGTGAAGAAGAGAAAACCAGCAGAAAAGTCATTGAACACAAAACTGGTAAAAACTTGCAAGTAAACAGTTGTTGCACTCTTTGCTATACATACATACAAGCACTTACACAGTCCTGTACATCATCCATATTCTGATTTCCAGTCATTTTAATTTTGCTTACTTGTAACCAAGTCAACAAATGGCGGATTTTGACATTTCTTCTTGTACTTCTTCTGCTAGCTAATTTCTGCTAGTAAAAATTTCACTAGCAAAAATTTTCAGCTCTCCCGTGTTATTACGCTCTCGATTCAGTGCTCTCTTGCAAATTTTTTGGGTTATTATATACTTTTCCAGTAAAAATTTGCAGGTTCCAGTACAAATTGGTACTGACTTTTTGTTACTATACACACCTAAGGTCCGCGGCGAGTAAATTTTTGACAACTATGTGGTGAATAAAATTTCAGTAGTTTATGAGGCTAGTGTATTTTTAACAAATGCATAGAAAATTTTGACAATCGCAAAGATTGTTGATGCGTGTAATTTTTCGTTAAATAAAAGCTTAAATTGATGAATTCCAATCAACAATGGTAGCTGTTTTCTTAAAATATTAATTTCATTTCAATTTGTAATATTTTATGCCGCATAAATCTGCGGTTATCAAAAATTTACTGCTGTCGAAAAAGATTTCATTTCACAGAGCAGATTGGCAAAACTGTCTCACCATAGTAAAAATTTTATTCAGCACCTTTCCGCATAGAACTTTGTTACCGATTCACATACGCCCTTACTTAGTTTTAAAAATAAGTTTTGTTTGGTTTGTAAGTTTGTATTTATGAATGAGTGTTTCTAAGTAGCTACATATGTATGTACTCCTTTTGTTTTTACTAGTTTTTGGCATTTTTAACATTATTATTTTTTTTTTTATTCATCAGCAGTGTTTGTCTTTTTTCTGGTTGTTTCGCGCTTTGTTGCACAGCCAGTCAGCCATTTTATTGTACCCACGCAGCGGGTGCCCACAGTGGCTCATTCTCTATGCGTTGCACTGTGTTCATTAGCTGTTCGAAGGCCGTCAATAGTTCGCCATTCACGATGACTTCATCGAAAAAGTGGCCGTAGAGGAAATCAATGCGTTCAGCTGATTTGATCATGTCGTTGAATTCTTCGTCCTAAATTATAAAAATAAAACGATTTGACTTGCATTTCAACTAAATAAAAAAGCACATACAAAATATAAATAGGAGTTTCACTGAAAAATAATGTTTATTATTAATTCAATTAAAATCTGTTTACCGCTGAAGATAGAAGATAGGATGCATTTTTTCTAAAATAGCTTAAAAGCTAGGCGTTATGCGAATACAAGCCGTATGTTTCAAGCTCATTTATACATAAAGGGACATACATATCGTATCTTTGATATAGAAACGTCCTTCTGACATTTTTGTTTCTTTGGAGAGTAGTTATTAATTCTTATAAAAACTAAAGGCCTTAAGATGAGACTATTGTCACTACGCTGTTTTAAGTAAGGACGAGAAACTAAGGATTTGATATAGCAGTTGAATCTCAATTCGATTAACGACTTTTGTTAGGAGTCCTTTAGCATTCAGAAAGTAGTAAAGTAGTAAAGTATCAAAGCTGCTTCAATAAACTGGACCCGCGCAGAGAGGTGTATGGTAGTGTCAAATCTTCTCTAGAGGCATAAACATTTTCTCTGGCAACGGTATTCGCTCTCAGCGGTACGTGCATGGCCTATATATGTAGTAAAAACTGTCAGAGGTAAGTTTCAAAGTATCTTCTGTCAGAGGACTAAATTGAGCGAAGTAATGTTGCACCATAGAGTACAGAAAACTGCCTTCAGACTACATACTGTTCATTGTAGTCCAAGTATAAGACTTCAAAATCAACCGAGAGGAAATATCTGAGTTCTCAAATTTGAAAGACTCTAGCAAGAACTTTTTGTGAGAATTGAGTCTCAAAAACTACTATATATGGATGTATCTGATAACCACCAAATCGGAATGAAACGATACGAGTAAATACAAGTACATACTCGATACTTTTCCTTCAATACCAAGTAATTTTGGTATCGATGTTTTTGAACCAAGTAATGAGTAGGTATTGAAAAAAAAAGTTTATATCGAAACCCGATACTAAGGTTAATTGGCTTCCCCCCTGTTATTTGTAGTATGAATGGCGAATTTAATAAGCGATTGCTTGGGGACAGAAGTTTAATAACGGCACCCGCGTCTTGAAATTTCATTTTGAGAGTAAAATTTCTAAATTTACATATGGAAAGAAAACAGCTGTCATTCATTTAATTTCAATCGAAACGAGTAACCTTTCGATCATGGTTGCGGCGATTCGGGCCCTGATTATTCTTTCATGACTGCATTGTGCCTGCTTACCGTAAAACCTCGAGCATTGCTCTCATCAAACGTCGACTTGGCTCTCGCCTCAGTGCGTGTCTTCTTCAAGACATCGAATTCCGGAGGTTTTATATGGATAATGAAGGGCTTCGTTTGTACGGTGCGTAATGCCTTGATAGCTTGATAGTGTGGACTCAGCACACAGACACAGCCGGCATTCACAATCGACTTCACACTTTCACCAGAGGTGCCATATAAGTGACCCTTATATTCGCCATGCTCGATAAATTTGCCCGCAGCTATATCCGCTTCCATCTTTTCGCGAGCCACAAATATATATTCGCGACCAGCTACCTCGCCGGTACGTATCGGACGTGTAGTATCTGAAAAAAAAAAAACAAACGGATGGATTAGGGAATATCAGTATTTAATGGCTTGCTGGCAAATTATAATTACATGGCACTGGGCTGCGAAACTTTTCCGGATCACGCGCCACTAAGCGACGCCTCAGCTCGTTGCGACCCACGCCTGGTGCGCCGATCAACACTACAGGACGGTAAACGCCCGGACGTGGATATAATTTGGATACCTCTTCATATGTGGCGATCATTTCACGATCAAAGTCATCGTTTTCTGTCAAATCGTACATAATCTTTTTAGTTTTAGGCTGGCGACATGAGGTGGTACTACTGCTAGTATGCAATATGGGTGTACCGGGCGGGGTGGTGCATATGGAAGCGCAAGAGCCCTCTGATGCAAAGTTATTTGAAGTTGATGCGTTAGTTTTGGTATTCAATTTTTTATTTTATTTTATTGAAATTCAGAAGCCAAATCAATGGTGAGTGATGATGCAGGCGTTGATGATGAGGGAAAATGGCGGTAGGTGAAATGCGGATACACACGCACACATAGACATGCAAAGCAAACATAGTTATAATTTTTTTTGAACATTTAGTAAAAATTTGCTTTAAAATGAATAAATCCATGAAATGCAGTTTAATTAATTAGTTTATGTGTATGTAAATTAGGGTGAATCCCCGTCGAAATTTTCAAAATTTTCAACAAATTTTAAGAGGTTGCTGCATAGGCATGAAACATTTTAAATCGTTTTTAATATCGCAAAAATTCGACAAAATTTTTACTTGAAATCTAATAAATTTTATATATTGATCATTGAAGCTTATTCATATAAATTCATAAACTAGCTGCATTGTAGGTGGTCAAAGTCAAAACTTTGTCGAATTTTTGCGGTCAGAAAATTAAATTTTTTCAAACCCTGGAGCAAGCCCTATTTTCACAATTTTTTACTTCCTTTTTACTTTTATTTTGTACGCAAAAAAAATGGTTGTCCTGTGATGTTGATATTTTTGAGGACCATCCTAATATACAATACAATAAAATCTTGATTTACAAACTCACTCTTTGAGTCGGCATCATTCGCCTCCAATTGTGAACGTTCATGCATAATACGCCGCTCTTGCAGCGCGCGACTGGGTATCAGACCAGCGCGGGCAGTGCGTTCAGACTCTTTGCGAGCTTGCCACCAATAAGCATCGTCCTGCAATAGAATCCATGTTGTTGAAAATTAAAACAATGCAATAACTTAATAATTAAAAGGCAATGTTGTCTAGGTAATTGACGATTTATGTTCATATGTTCACTAGGGTGGTCCAAAAATATATGCGGGGGAAATGTTTAAAATGTGCTCACACCCTAGGATTTTTTGCAAAATGGGAAAGAGAGTGCCCGTAGTTTTTTGTTAAAAAATATATGCATATGTATGTATTTATGATTGCCTCAAAGCCCATGAAGTTTTCCAAGTATTTTATATGAGGAAATAATACTTCTTCGTAGAAATGGTATAGAATAATTGAAAATCAATGGGCTTCAGCATAAAAAGAGAGCTTAAGCTCATACTCAATTTTTGCACTAATGGAATGAGCTCAAGCTCAAGAATTCGTACTGAAAATTTAGTCGGAGCTTAAGCTCACTTTTAATAAATGAGGTCTAATATTTTTCGATCGGACTACTCCAGTAATAACGCCCAATAGTTTATTTAGCCATTTTTAAATAATAATGACAAATATTAATTTTCCAGAATTGGGTACCATTTTTTCGAAGAAGTGTTTTTACATGGAAAACTTCATGGGCTTTGAGGCAGTTCTAAATATATATATTTTTTTTACAAGAAAATACAGGTATTCTATATATGGATTTACAAAATTCCTAGCGGGTGCGAGCTTAATATTTTAAATTTTTTTTTGACCACCCTAATGTACACACGATCACTCAAGTTTTACCTGCGATACAATATGCAAAATATCGCCACGTTGAAACGCCAGTCCGGCCTCCTTGCAAGGTATATAAGGATCCGTATCTGGATTGTAGTCAAAGTGCGCACGCACACGCACCTTAGACTCGCGCTGGCCACCCTTGCCATCTGACGGCACCAACTTGAAAGTGATCGTGCCTTCGGAATTTTGCTATGATTTGGCAGTGTAAAAAATAATTTATTAATTTTGTGCGAAAAAACAATAATCTTCACATTTTTGCACACCAAAATACTCAGCACATCCCCTGGTGTTTTGCCTTCCACATTAATGCCATTCACCTCGATCACCTCATCGCCAACGTGTATCAGTCCAGAACGATCGGCAGCACCGCCATGCATGATACGCGCAATAATTATTTTGCCAGTTTCTTCGTCCGTTTTGATTGTGGCGCCCTAAAATTTAATTTTGATGATAAATACAATACACAAATGTATTAGTATTTAACACTTTTCATTTTATATTTTAGTATTTTTAAAACGAATCTAGCGATGCACTGTGGTAAGAAAACAGTTAATTTGTGTAAATTTTCAAACTAAGATACACAAATTACGACAACGAAAATGGTGTTTCTTTGTTTTTGTTCTTCGGGTTTTCGTGTTGTTGTGAATAAGAACTGTTAAGATTTTTGGCATAAATTTT